AACTTGCTGAAAAACCTCCCAGACGTCGTCGATTTAGCTACATGGGTCTCCCCCAAGGCTCATGTTTAAGCCCCCTTTTGTACAATTTCTACGTTAGAGAAATTGACAATTGTCTTAGTGACAATTGCACGTTGAGACAACTTGCAGATGATGGCGTAGTGTCTATCACAGGGCCAAAAGAGGTTGACCTGCAAGGACCCTTACAGGATACCTTGGACAATTTGTCTACTTGGGCTATTCAGCTAGGTATCGAATTCTCCACGGAGAAAACGGAGTTGGTCGTTTTTTCTAGGAAGCATAGCCCAGCACAACCGAAGCTTCAACTTTTGGGTAAACCGATCACTCATTCCATGTCTTTTAAATATCTCGGGGTCTGGTTCGATTCCAAATGCACCTGGAGATTCCACATTGAGTATCTGAGACGAAAATGCCAACTAAGGATCAATTTCCTTCGATCAATTACCGGAACGTGGTGGGGAGCCCATCCACAAGATCTTCTGACGTTGTACCGGACAACGATTTTATCGGTTTTAGAGTACGGTAGTTTTTGCTTCCAGTCGGCAGCTAAAACGCACATCATCAAGCTGGAACGGATCCAGTATCGTTGTCTTCGTATCGCGTTAGGATGCATGCACTCGACTCATACTATGAGTCTCGAAGTGCTGGCGGGCATGTTGCCACTATCCGTCCGTTTTTCAGAGTTATCTCTGAGGCTCCTCACCCGTTGCGAAGTAATGAACCCACTGGTGATCGAAAATTTTGAGAAGCTTCTGGAGCTAAATCCTCAAACATGTTTTATGACTTTGTACTACCTATATTTAACACAGGATGTCAGCCCTTCAAGAAATATTCCTAATCGTGTAGTCTTCTCCGATTTCGGCAATTCAGTGAATTTTGATTTATCTATGACGCAGGAAATCCACGGAATTCCAGAGCATCATCTTCGTATGATTGCTCCGTCATTATACGCTGCAAAGTTTGGCCATGTTGATTCTGCAAGAACGTTTTTCACAGATGGATCTCTAATAGAGGAGTCCGCTGGTTTTGGTGTATTTAATGAATTTCATAGCGCCTCTCGAAAACTTGAAGCTCCTTGTTCTGTGTATGTGGCTGAACTGGTAGCAATTCACTACACTTTGGAAACTATTGCTTCACTTCTTCCAGACCACTACTTTATTTTTACGGATAGTCTCAGTTCTGTCGAGGCTATCCGTTCCATTAGGCCGGTAAAGCACTTCTCGTATTTTCTCTTGAAAATACGAGAACTGCTCAGTGCTTTATCCGTGCGCTCTTTCATAATCACCTTCGCGTGGGTCCCTTCGCATTGCTCAATTTTGGGCAATGAGAAGGCGGATTCACTTGCGAAGGTGGGCGCTATGGAAGGCGACATTTATGATCGACAGATCGCCTATAGTGAATTTTTCTCTATTTATCGTCAGCAGTCGCTCGTTAGCTGGCAACATCAATGGAGTGAAGGGAGCTTGGGACGATGGCTACATTCAATTATCCCTAAGGTGTCGAAGTTTGCATGGTTCAAAGGGTTGGACTTGAGTCGAGACTTCATACGCGTGATGTCTCGTCTCATGTCCAATCACTATTGTCTAAACGCTCACTTGTTCCGTGTGGGGTTGGGAGACAGCAATCTCTGTGAATGTGGACAAGGTTACCAGGACGCTGATCACATCCTTTGGTCTTGTGCGGAGTATCGTGGAGTCAGATCACATTTTTATGATTCCCTTCGGGCTCGAGGTAGACAACCTAATGTTCCAGTGCGGGAAATTTTGGCTAGACGCGATCTGGAGTTTATGAAACTCATATATGTTTACTTTAAGGATATTAACCTTAGATTGTAAGTTTGATTAACCTTGTGTTTAGTTTGTATTTTGTACGTGTGGGTTTTTTTTCAATGTTTGTTTTCAAGATGAATAGAAATAATTTCATGCTTTAGGATTAATTAAATAGTTGTATCGTAAACCACATTTCAAACCTCCTTCTTCCCTTTTCCCATCCAAAAAATTGTAAATCTCCATTAACCTCGAGACAACCGCGAGTACTCGGTCCAGTTCCTTTAACTTTAAATTTAAGACAGTAATAATGTATAACGCAAAGGATAACTCGGCTCTGTAAAGTTTATTCGATTGAGCCTGTACAAATAAAGTAATTATAAAAAAAAAAAACTTAACACATTTGGTAAATGACATCAGCATAAAGAAAAAAAATGTTGCTATTTTTCAATACCTGGAAAGCCTTATTAAAATACAAACTTAGAATGGCTAAGAAAGACGTCGAAAAAAGGATCACATTTCATGGATCATTGCGGAGTTTGTTTGATATCGGGAAGAATTTTAAGGCAAAAACCCGTGAAGAAAAGCAGGCGATGCAATATTTGCAAAAACAGCGGGAACAAGCTCATCTTGAAGAAGAAACTGAGGTTCTCCCTACCAATGAAACCATTTCGTGTAGTGATTTTGAGGAAGCAGGATCAAGCCAAAGACCGGATCAAATTTGTAGTGCAACCTCAATTGAAACATCATCACAAAACGACAGCCAGGCTGGGTCAGTGTACTCGCCTAGTACATCCGAAAGAGCTTATCCAAAAACAGGTACGTTGTGATGTTTTACTAATGTTTTTCTTTTCATTTAGATTATACACCTATTACCATCAATATTAATATATTTTGAACGTTCTAGGTTCTCCAAAATTAGCTTTGACACGTAAATCGCAACTGATACGAGTTGTTACAGTTGAGGTAGCTGCTGCATTGGACCGCTGTAAAGTGTCTGATCGAAATGCTGTGTTTCTAATATCATCGATCGCTAAAGCTTTAGGGCACGATGTTTCATCATTATTGTTGAACAAGGAATAAGTCAGAATCGCCAGAGCAGGAATTTTTACTTATAAATGCAACATGATTTAAAAGCGTCGTTTAAGCCAGATATAAATTTTACAGTACATTGGGATTCTAAGCTGCTACCTAACATATTACCATCCAAAGATGTACCAAAAACCGAGCGCATGGCCATAGTTGTATCAGGCGAAGGCATTAGCAAATTATTGGCTGTTCCACCCATCGAAAACTCTACGGGGGCACAACAAGCAGAAGCGGTGTACAATGCAGTCGTCGAATGGGGGCTTGCGGACAGGTATGATCTTAAATCTTGTATGTTCACCTCAGAATTCTGACTATTTTATCGTTTGTTTTCAAAATTATGTTAACATCTTTTGATACTACTGCATCAAACACCGGTAGAAAAAAAAGGTGCGTGTCAGTACCTGGACAAATTGTTTAAGAGGCAGCTTATAGACCTCCCTTGTAGACACCACATACATGAACTGCTACTTGGTAAAGCTTTTAAAATTCTGAAATTTGAAACGTTAAAGTCTCCAAATGTTGAGATTTTTAAGGAATTCCAATCAAAATGGCACATTTTGGAAAAGACTTCATACCACTCAGGTATGGATGATGATTTTTTAAAATAGCTATTTCGGAAATAGAAAGATTGGCGTTATTGGAGTTTTATGAAAAACAAATTAGAGAGCAACACCACCGTGGTGATTACCGAGAGGTTCTACAACTTGCCATTTTATATTTCTGATGAAAAGTTGTGGTTTTTCATATATTTTTGAATTTTTGGACCACCCTAATGAAGAAAAATTGGACCACCCTAGTGAACTACTTCGTATTAGATCCTAAATGGTGGTTTAATTCGATATATAAGCAGGTTGGAGACAATTTTGAACAGTTTTAGAAGCCGACTCATCAATCTTCTATATTTCATATAGAACTCATGAAAAAATTCTAAGTCCCAGAAAGTCGATTTTTGAAAAAAAAATTTCCCCCCCTGGGAGATTTTCGAGAGTGAAAAAAGTCAAACTTTGACGCGTTTGTGCCACTCATGTCCGATTGCGCTCAAATTTTGCATAGGGTCATTTTTCGAGGCAATAAACATTTTGTATATGGTTTTTCCTCTCCCGTCATATGACGCACGTTGCTTGTTGATCAGCATTCAAACATTGAAAGAACGTCGGGATTACGTAAAGATTTCTTTATCAAACAATATCATTTCGCAAAGCATTGTCTAAGCTGATCTATTGTCAAGGTAAAATATGTATGCACCGTTCCGACAATTACGCAATCGACACTTGTTCGCAGTAAATCGCCATCGGACCAATTACGCTAAATTTGTACCTGTAAATCAGATGCTGACTGTTTATAATCATCATTGTGAAATGATTGACCTAAATATGCCCTCAACAGAATTAAAAATATATTTTTAGAACCCTGCAAAGTCATAGAACATAAGTCCTTATGTTTGCAGCTGAGTTATTGACGAAAGAGAAAGTCGATGAAGAGAATCGATCAATGCAAATAGGACCTTTTGAAATGTTTATCTAGATGTAGTCTACGATTTGATTGATTGACGAATAAAAAATAAATGAATATTCACATCATACACTCTAATAGGTTTAGTGTTGAAGCTTGTGAACTAACGCATCGATACAAACTTGAATTACTCATTTGTGCACTGTGAAATCATTGATTATACCGATTTTTTCTGCTCGATAGAACGGAAATGGACGATTACGACGAAGTAGCGCTCTACCCTATATGATTTAAAGCTATGTTTTGTTGTTTTGTGAAGTCTTTCGTGTTTGCGTTTGAAAGTTGCTTTCGGTAGTCTGCTCTATACCGGTACAGGGGCACATGGAACAAGTTTATATCAGTTTATTCAGGCAAACAATGTTTTATACAACTAGCTTTTGTCTGTATTAGCTGGTCCACTGATAAAATGGTTTGTTTTGCAAGTGATTTTATAGATGCGCGAAACTATTTTTCGAACAAAACTAGCACCTCACGTGAACGGCATTAGGCACCAAACCAACCATTTATTTTTTACTTTAAAAATGAATTATTTGTTTGCAATGTAACACAAAGGGAAAGAAATAAAGTCAATTTTAAATTGTGTGCGTGAGTCGACAATTTCCTATTTGCGATAAATTAGGGCAAATTAACATTAATTAGATAGAACGTTGCATAGTTATTAACTTGATCCACATCGTCATTGTACTGGTAAAAATCTGAAAATACAAATTGAAATCATTCAGTACTCCTAATCTAGGTAAATAGAGGCTGCACTTACTAAGTTTGTTAACATCATACTGGCTACCAATACACTCCATCACCAACCGGTGCGCCAGACTGCATCTGTCGCAGGTACTCGAAGCTCGCACGTCTTTTATGCATTGCGTGACATTATGGTAGAACTCGTCATCATAGCCTCCGCACGCAACGTAGAACCGCTCCAGGTTAAGGCCACCGTTATCACTATACAGACCTGATCTGATCATGAAACACCGCAACAGGCATCGTGAGTCCTGCAGAGAATAGTCCGTGTCATTCAGCACCTGGAGAAATCGCTGTTTAGAAAATCCCATCATAGTGGCACATTCTCTGTAGATCTGTTGCTCCTGTAACCCACTAGAACGTACGAACTTTGGTATATCCACCATCACCTCTCCGAATTGGTCCAGATAGCACTGGATGGACTCGCTCGCTCTGATACATTTTTTCTCCGGTGCAATCTTTGGAAGCTTAGCGCTCAAACACCGCTGGGTTCGGTTGAAGTTGCACCGATCAACCGGACTCGGTTGGAAGAATCGATCGTAAACTGACTGCATTCCGGTCATATCGTTCCAGTCATGAGTGAGCAGCGTTTGGCACCGGGCCATGCAATTTTCCGGGGGATTATACTGGTGACACTCGACACCGGTCCGCTGAAGGCTTTTTTCCACGATCTTGTGCCGATCACAATCCACACTGCTCACAAAAATGACAACTGCTAAGGCCAAACTGAAGTGTTTCATCGCCACCGAAGTTCTTTGCTACGTAGATGGAACGTTACTAGAGATACCCGATGGCATGGCGGTTGAATTTATGACTTTTTATGAATGGACTGGTCTTGCAGTGAAAGCACGTACTTTCAGTTCCCAGGTGAACTGCCCAGAAACTCGATAGAAAAATGGCATCAGAATCACGTTTTGGCTTGACAGGAAGTTTTTCCGCTTGATAATGTGCAATCCACATTCCTTCCGTAAACTTTCCATTCATCACAAATTCAGTGGAGTGAGACGTTTTTGAAATGGCCTGAGTTGAGACTCTTGAGAGTATTACCCTTCTTGCCAAGAATGCCCGCTCCAGTTCGTCATGCATAAGAGATGCAGATTTGAGTTAATCACACCAGTTAAGTCATAGTTAATATCAAAACCTACAAAAGCTTTATACATCATTTCACGGAATCCTAGAGAAAAGTTAGAGGCAAATGAATCAAGATGATTTTCCATGCCTGGCAGCAGGGCAGCACAATATCAGCTTCAATCGACCAAATCGACGCGACGAAGAGACTACTGGCTTTCTTTTTCTGTTAAGCTGGTTTTAGACTAGGTAAGTCAAATGATCAACTCAGTTGAATTCAAAAACACCATAAACTATACCATCCGACCATTCGAACTGCTCGAATACATCCATGGCGGTGGCTGCTACACCAACCATCCCAAGTAACATTTTAAGTTTTATGAAATACTACAAAGCAACTATAAAACAACATTCATAAAACTCTGGTCAAGGCTATTTTGTCATAAAGCATCCACCAAAACCTCATTAAGGCTAGAATATGTCTAGTTGGCCCACCCTGGAGAAGGTTCTGAAGGGTGTATTCTTGAAGCTCTTCAAGATTGCTTTACGTCAAAAGGTTGTATGACGAACCATTTGAAAGCTACAATAAAAGCTATTTAGCAACAATAAAAACCCTTTCCGAGCCATTTCTCCTAGCCGCTTGCTAAATCCACTAGGAAAGCATTAATCAAGATAGAGAAGGATTTATGAATCCGATATTATCAAAATAATTAAAATAGAAACTGATGGTATAAAAATCTTGTTGAATATTCAAATTTATTACAATAGTTCTCATTAGGTGGCCTAGTTTTAAGTGCCTAATTTAATTTTATGTGAAATGTACGTGAAAACATCGAAGTAAATACGTCCGCCCTCGTAAAACGTCGATTTGACTATTTATTTTAAATTTAAAAAAAATTATTCTTCAGGTCGAGGTAGGCCGAGATTTTTTTTATGATTTTCGCATTTAAATGTTTGCTCATTGCTAAATTTACCAAAAATATAGTCATATCCAAGAAACTATATATCGAAAATCAAATATTGTAAAAAACAAGCCAACTAATTGCAACATGGCGGTGACATACAAGTTGATTTTCATGGGATTTGTGAAAAAATTGTTTTGCTTCCAAGATATCCTTAACAAATTAATAAGGTTTTAAAATGGCATTTATGAAGAAAACTTACAGCCTGCATTGTATTTATCTAAAGCCATTTTGCTTGATCCTAACACGATCAGATTTATGGCAGCATTTATGGAGGCAAAGTTGCCTGCAAAAAGTTAAACGTCAAAGTTTGTTTATCTTTCGATAGTTGCGCTGTGAGATCCAGAATTCTTCCAGACGGTTTTCTCCCGATGGATTGGGAGTAGTTACTCAGATAGTGTGCGATACTGTTTTACAACATTTCGTTTTTCGAACAGCTGGAAGCGCAATCGTTCCCGAAAAAGATCCCCTTCTTCCGGACGGTTACAGAAGTGCGCCATCCAATGATGCAGAGATGTACGGTTGAATGAAATTTTCGAACAGTCTTTCGCCGAATAAAATCGCTGCTTTGGAACGGAAACCAGCTGATCTCCGCTTACTAACAGTTTCAGTGGTTTGCTGTCGGTTCGATTGTCATCGCAAGATCTGGAGAAGGCTGGTATGTTTTTCAACTTTACACAATGTTTTATGAGTTCGAGGGCCCACTCACTTCACTCTTCTCCGACAGATGGTCAGTCATTGGTGGTGTGCTGGTTCTTCTAAAGAAGTAAATTTATCTGAAATTGACTTGATTTTTTCATCCTACTTCGTCTATCCTTCGAGATTTCCTTGTCATAAATTTGGCAATTATAAACTATGACGAACCATCTTTTAAGCTCAATTTGTAAACAGAGTAATTGGGGAGTTAATGATGCTTTTTAAAAAGGCTAAAAAGCAACAATAAATGCTTTTTGCTCTAATGCAAAACCTAATGGTTTTATGGTGGCTTTTATGAATGATAGAACACGTTTATAAAGTATTTTATCATGACATTAATAAACAATTGCTAATGACATTAATGCTTGAATTACAGAGCAGTTTTAAGGAGGGATTGAGAACTGTTTTAAATTTATTTTTAAAACAAGACAGTTTTTGACTTTCTTGCCAGGCTATAAAAGGTTTTTAAAACAGCAAAAAGCTGAACTACTATGCAGGAATGTTTTACACTTTGAAATGCTGTATTTATACTAAATGGTTTGTTCATTGCCGTTATAACACCATCATAAGTCAGAGTGGATGCCAAATGGTTACTGATTTGTTACTTGGGATTCCATCGTCCAAACATATAATGTTGGAGGACCGTCTTGGCAAAATCTCAAATAGTTCAACAAATTATTTTTACTCTCCTGACTTTTGCACTTCCAACTAACACAATAAGAAATTATAACTACGCATCATAACATTAACTACACAGAAAAAGGAAAATCCTTTCTTTTCTAAGAAAAAAAAGCTTCCGCTCTTTCAAAGCTAACGTGTTTTCGATGTTCTCGTTGCTCCTTGCACCGTTCATCGACTTGGAGGAGAAGAAGCACAGCTTCATATGAACAGGAATTATGTGCATTTGTGATCGATCGCGCTGTGAATGCACTTCATGATGGCGTTCGCCAGGGTTACGCTCGAGAACTCGACCAATCACTGGCCTAATAAAACACAAGGTAATAAAAATCTAACGATTTTTTGGGGGGCTCGATGTCCTAGTGACGACCGTTTTTGTTACTGCGCCGAAGATGGGTTGAACCCTAGGTTTCAGGCGCACGTGAATTTGTAATCTGATGGAATGAGCTGACAGTAGAAAAATAGGAGGAATAAATAAAAAAACACCCTTTGCTCAGTTTATACTTGTGCTGGTTCAGTAGATCTGATGCGCCATCTTCTATCAAAAATGGTCGGCAGCATGATACTAACAGTTTTCAGTGACTAATTTATATCAGCACACCAGCTTCAGGTGCTCCAGAATTTTGAAGCTAACTGACATTTTGGTTTTCAGTATGATCTGCTTGCTCGCATTGTGCCAAGACTTAGGGACGTTCATAAACTACGTAGACCATTTTTGAGAGGTTTTAGACCCTCCCCTATCCTTCCTCTGCGTAACTGATCGCCAAACCCAGAGTGTTAGAATTTTTTTATTGTTTCTATGTTACAAAATTATTAAATTAAATTCGACACTTGCCCGAACGCTACTGGACCAAGAAGGTCTTTGAACCTTAAGTTATAAAGTGATTGATAAAACATAATTAGATCTACGGAAAGACATTTGAAATCTCGGGCTAATAAGTTTTTTTTAAGATAACACGAGAAAACTGTCAAGGTTTTGAAGACCAGTGAGCTTTTCGCATCCTTGATCTCCTAGAAGATTTCAGACTTCATAAAAATATAAAACTTCGAGTATGGCGTAATTTTCAAGATCTTAGTTTTAAAATAAAAATCATTACTCTTGAACTTGATCAAAATGTTATGATTTTTACACTTTGAAGAATTATCTAAAGAATTTAATGATAATTTTATGAGAATTGTAGAGGAATTTAAAAGATAATTCAATGTTCCTACGTAGTTCTGAAGAGAATCTCAGGAAGCAGTCTTAGGGAATTCGGAGTAAAATTAAAAATATATTAATCCTACAACAAATTTAACACTATCCCTTATGATCAGCTAAGGATGAACATCGCTTGAATGTCAATCATAGAGAATTCTCAGGAGAGCTCCAATGGACTATCGATAATAATTCCAAGGGAATTTATTTCTGAATATAGCACAAAACATTTTTTACATAATGTCAAGCTTGTCAAGGGAATTGCTAAAACGAATTTTGAAGGAATATCAATGGATTTCTGGAAGGGTCCACAGAAGACAAATCACAGGGAATTTCGAGCACATTCTCGAAGATATTCTGAGTACCTTTCCAGGAAATTCTGGAGAGTTTGAAGAGATTCTCTCAACGGCATTTTGGGACCAATTTTAGGTAAAATCCATGATAACTCGATTTAATATGATTTACTCGAGAGTGAATTTGAATTTTAAGAGTTTTCTGCACAGAATTCCTAAACTGTTGTGGAGGAAAATTCCAATGAAAACTGTAGAGAATCAAAAGTATAGTGAGGTAAATGCTGAAAATAATTATAAATTAGCAGTTCTAGGCCAAATATCAGAAAATCTAAATAAATTTCTGATTTTGCCTGTCAGAATTCCATGAAACTTTGCTTAATTGTTTGTTAGGGGCTATGAAGCAAGTTTGTGCAGGAGTTTGGGCATTTTGACCCACAACTATTTTTTTTACAGAATTTTTCAATAAATCATAACACACAACTGACTCTTGCGTCTGAGACAAAATTGTAGGCAACTGAATTGCCTTTAAAAAAATACATCATCAAGCCCATCCACATCAAGATTCGTCAATCGTTTTATTTGTTAATATGACTACATGGTAATAACAGCAACTCAATGATTAAAAAGGAGCTCGTTTGCCTAGTAGGAAACGTTTTTGCTTACTGAGCAGAAGACCGTGGGTTCAATCCCAAGCTCCTTCGCGTTATACGATCGTTAGGACATCAATTCAGCTTATCGTTTACCAAAATGAACCCTGCTGCAAACCCAACCCTCTTACCCAACATCCCTGTGATTCCTCGTGGAAGTGCAGAGGACTCCTTGGCTTCCAACAAAGTGAGTGCCACGTC